TTTTGCATGTTGAATGTAGGCAGAGTCTTGGAGGTGGAACCCATACCAGAACATTCAAGTAAGCTATCCCCAGATCCTAAAGCCCTTGGGAACCATCTGTCCAAGAAGCCGTCATCTCCCTCTCCCAGGTCCCACATGAGCAAAGAAGACTGAGGCAGGTAGAAGGGAGCAACCGCAGAGAAGGTTGAGAACCTGGAGAAAGAGAAAGGTGCTTTCTATTTCTTAATCCCTTCTTTCCATTTTTAAATTCATTCTTACTGGCTGTCCAGTTCATTCTTTCATTTATTTCCTGAGATCCAGAGGTGCTGATAATCCTTTTATTTTAAGTGGGGTTTTTCTAAAAATCGGTGTAAATATACCAATTTGTCTGCTTCAAATGAGCCTTCCTCTGGCCACTGCAAAGCAAGATTTTTATAAACATGCCTATTCCAAACATGACAGAGTAAAATAAGCCCTTTAAGAAAGAGACCTACTGGCAGGCTCCTTATATTTTTCTGCACTAAAGGCCAGGTTTAATCACACACAGCCTTCAAGCTGTATTACCCATTTTTCTCAACAGGAACTTAGAATTAGCAGTGACTTTGGCATTTTCCCTGGGAAACCAATCCCACTGAGCCAAAGAAGTCAAAAGGATACTTTATAGCAAACATCCAGGGTCTCCTTCCTAATCAAAAGTGGCCACAAATCTGAGTCACCAACAGGACTTGCTTGCCGTGTACCATCCTATTGCCAAACTGTTGAAATAACAAATAGAGGCCCATAGGACCATGCCAATTCATAAATAGAGAATTAGCTATTTTTACTACTAAGCAAAAAAACCCTAAATGCATGCACATATAGCCTGTAAGTGACTACAGAACCATGATGAATTTTCTCCTCTATTTATATGGCAGTAGAACTTCAGTTTGTAAACATCATCCTACTTTTTTAGTAAACACTCAACAGACAGTTAACTTGCACCAGTAGCTACACTGTGTTCACTCTGACATCCTGTTTTTCATAATTTTTTTTAATCAAGATCACTCTGTTTTTATAATTCTTTATCAGAGCCTCCTTCAGTTGCCCCTTATATTGTAACCAGCACATCCTTCAGCACACCTCATGAGGTTAGGTCCAGTTCAGTCTACCCCAGCCCCTCCCAGGCTGTGGCAGGGGCTTCCAAGACAACATCAGCCATTCCAGGGGTTTCCTGGTTAGCATTCATTGCTTTGTCCTGATCCTGAAAGGATTGGCTGGGGAAGTATTGGACTCCCAGGGACCAAGCCTACACGTCCCCACGTGCCTGTCCCTTTCCCCACCCCAACCATGGAGGAGAAGGAAGGCGTCAGCCTGCCCCCATGTGAGAGCTCAGCTGTCCAACGGCTGAGTGCTTTCAACCCGATTTCAAGGTACCACTGGCTGTGGAACTAGTATGTTTGAGAGAAAACACGCTTTCAACTTGCTAATAAAGTACTGCCAAATTGCCCTCCTGAATAGTCATACCAGTTTATACTCCCACCTGTAATGTATGAGTTACTTCTGTCACACATCCGTGGCAACATCTGGTGTTTGCAAACTTTATTTCTCCCCATATGATGGGTGTGAAGTGGTGTCTCACTTTGGTTTTAATTTGCATTTCTTCACTGTTGAGCTTTTTTCATTTGTTTGTTGGTCATTTGGGTTTCCTCTCTTGTGAATTCACTGTTTATATCTATTGCCTTAAAAAAAATAAAAGGGGAGGATTACCCTTCTCAATGTACCGGAATACTTTATGTTATTCTGAGTACTAGTCTTTTTATCAATCCTGTGTATTGCAAATACCTTCTCCCAGTCTATGGCATTTTTAATTTTTTATGGAATCTTTTTCACAAAGAAGTTTTATGTGTTCAAATGTATCATTCTTTTCCTTGGTAGTAAAAAGAATTTCTCTTTCTTGATATGAATGTCTCCTATAATTTCTTCTAAAAGTTTTACAGTATTTTCATATTTAAATCTTTGATCTATATACAATTTTATTTTTATGTGTGGTATGAGGTAAAAGTACAATTTTATTTTTTCCACATAAATAATTGATTGCCCTAGTACCATTTGTTAAATGATCCATATTTTTCTTCATCTATCTGTAATGTCACTTTTATAATTTATACACATGTATGTATGTGTGCGAGAGAGAGATCACTCTTAGGTTCACTTTTCTGTTCTTTATTTTATGTTTTTTAATCTTTGCTAATATAACACTGATTGGATTTCTGTAGTTTTATGCAAAAGTACTGATACCTCCTTTTTCGTTCTTCAGGATTACTTAACTATCCTTGGCCTCTTGTTTTTTCCAATGAACTTTAGGATCAACTTCTCAAGTTTGACAAAAAACCCTTTGAGGATTTTTATTGGGATTTCAGTGTACTAACATTAATTTAAGAATTACCATCTTCATACATTGAGTCTTACCATCCATGAAAATGGAATATTCTTCCTTTCATTTAGGTCTTCTCTTATGCTCTTTAATACAGGTTTTCAATTTTCATTTTTCTATAGAGCCCTTATAATATCTTTACATTTGTTTAGTTTTTGTTACTATTACAAATAGGGTCATTTCTAAAATTAAAATTTTAAATTGGTTTACAGTATAGAGCAATATTAATCTTTAATATCATTGTCAAAGAACATTGTATGATAGATTCTCAATGTCTGTTAAAATCTGTTTTGTGGCCTAGAGCACAGCCAATTTTATAACTCTTCATGTGTTCTTGAAAAGATTTTCTCTTTAATTCTGTGCAAGGTTTTGCATTTGTCTAGTAGGTCAAGCTTGTAATTAATTATTCACTTGTCTGGATTCTTACTAAATGTATTCTGCTTTACCTGTCTCATAGTATGACTGTGAATTTGTTCATTTCTTCATGTCATCCCGTGATCTTTTTCATTACTTGTATGGAGATTGAGTTCACAATTATCATAGCTTCCTTGTGAATTGCTCCCTTTTTACTCTTATGTAATAACTTTTTTATTCCTAGTAATGTTTTACCTTAAAATATATTTTTCCTGATATTAATAGAGTTTTGCCAGTTTTCTGTTGGTTTATGGTATGAATAATACAGCAGTTAAGGATGTGTTTAGCTGCAACTAGTTTCTTAAACTAATGTTAGGGAGCTGTTTGTTCTCAAATAACAAAATCAGAGATAGATGTGGGTCCAGCAGCAGTTGATCAGTCCTACTGCCATTCAGAGTGTGGCAGAAGAATTCATCCTCTTGCTTGGTTCCCCCATGAGGGTTTGTAGGATGGGAGGCAGGGCTGTGGGTAGAGGGGACGGAGCGGATAATGGGAACAATCTTTGTTCTGAGTGTTGCATATGGTATAATACCTGGGTTAGTATCTATAAAATCTCTGTCCCATGTTTGTAAGTGGTTTGCTATTTATACACATTTTATGAAAGTTCTTTCCTTTTAAGATGGAATCTTTCTATAGTACAAGTGACGGTTGCCTTAACCAAATGAATTGACCTGACACAAAATGCTTATGGTCCTCTCTTTAGAGCCAGAAGCAGTGAAACGCTCAAGTCTCAGGACACCAAGTGTCACAGTGCCTGGCAAGGCACCATGCACTCAAATCTCAAAGCAGTAATGCAAAGGAAATATATACTTGCTCTCAGCAAGTTGAGTTTTGTATTGAGAAACAATTAGTATATATGTCGTCACAAGAAAATGCCATCATTGTTTATAGTTTTCAGAAGACTGCTTAAATTTCAGTATTTTCTAGGAAACCTAACATCACTCTGTACCATTTGCTGGGGCATTGTCAAAGCCATCAGGTAGCCCTGCTTTCCTAGCAAATGGACTTCAAACTCCCCCTTCCTTTATCCCCTCCTCTGAAACTTTCAGTGCATCTGATTTCACCTCTAATCTTGTCCCAAACCATTAGGACAAGTCTGTGGAACACAAACAGTTCCTGTGGTTAGCATTATAGCCTCCAGCACCTACAAAGCAAGTTAGTCTATTTCTGTTTTGTTCTTCAAATATGGTTAACCATATTTAGACAGTTTTAGTGCTTCCCAGAGAACCTCCAGAACAATATATTAATACACCTAATGTTTGATTTGTGTTAAAGGTTAACAGAGCATTTACTTACCTTATTCCATTCAGCCCTCCTTAGCCCAAGAATTAAAGAATTTCTGTCCCATAGATAAGAATGGAGCCTTCAGGGCTCAACCTATAATAAGAATGTAATTATTTCAGTGAAAGTGGGAGATTGTTTCTTTTAAAACATTAGAATAGTGTTACTTTGAATTATTAGGTTAAAGTGCACAAGCAGAGCCCAGAGCTAAGATAAATATTTATTGAATGACCACACTGTTAGTTGGGCATTTTGTTTTAGACACTAAAACTGCTAATCCATTTTGAATGCCCTTTTGTCATTAATCCTTGTCCAACACAATATTGTTAAACAGAAACCAGGTGTCTTTTCACTGAAGGACATGGAAAGTGTTTCTTATATGACCTTAAGCATTGAATTTTTTATTTGAGTGCATGTGTGAATGTGTTTTATGTTAGTCACCTAATAAATTTTGTGCATTGCTTAATCATTGGATTGAAATATATGCATAAGAACTCTTGAGAAGGAAAAGTTTTTAGAAACTCTTATTAAATATTCTGTTTCCACTGTTTTTACAGCTTTGCTTTCTATGTGATTTCCTTTTTACATTTGACTGAAATTATTCTCACTGTGCTCAGGCCTGATTTTCCCTCTCCTATCAAAAACAGCTTTCTCTTTCTAACTAGTTTACAACTTCTCATTTGAAAACTCAGTTTTCTTTATTCTCCACACAATAACCCTAATTTCCTTTTTGTTCCTTACAATTTTCCATTCCTTAGTTATTTCATTGATTCTCTGAGCCATAAAACTCCATCTTAAACTTGAACTTCTTACAACTATTTTAATTATGTTATCATGTCTGTTTACAAATTTGAATTAATGGAGTCAAATTTAGGTTTTGTTGTGATTTAAGTGTTCTAAAATAATATTTCAGCCATGGAAACAAAGAAGTCTTTTCCTGCCGAGGAATAAAATTAGCAGTGGATTGGTTTTTGGAAAGAGGCCACAAGGATGTCACCGTCTTTGTTCCTGCTTGGAGGAAAGAGCAGTCCCGGCCCGATGCACTTATTACAGGTGAGCCTGTGAGCTTCCGAGCACACCTGAGCCAGTGCCTCTGAATAATGCGTGTGTCTGCCATGATTTACTCAGTCCCTTGGGTGGGACATATTTTCTAGTTTAAAAACTTTCTGGTTATGTTAACTAAAGAGTAATTCTTGCTACTTAAACCATTTTTTTTTAACTTTGCAACTTTTTAATTCAAATTTTGTAAAAATTCTGACCTTTAGAGACATGCTAGGGGTCAGGAGGCCTAGATTCAAATTCCGGCTGTGCCGGGTACTGTCCATGGCGCTTGGAGCAGCACACCGACCCTTCTGGGCTCCAGGTTTCTCACCTGCGGTGTGAAACTGGGTAATACCCAAAGACCCTGATGCTGGGAAAGATGAAGGCAGGAGGAGAAGGGGACAACAGAGGACGAGATGGTTGGATGGCATCACCGACTCAATGGACATGAGTTTGAACTCTGGGAGATAGTGAAGGACAGGGAAGTCTGGGCATGCTTCCATGGGGTCACAAAGAGTCAGACACAACTTAGCAACTGAATAACAACAGTGACTACAGATCAGAAAAGACCCTTGGGTCATGCTGTCTGGTGTCAAGTAGAGGAAATGATTCAATCCCAATAAAATATCTGTATTTTGCATTATCTTGTAATTTTTAAATGTATGAGTTTCAGGCAGAGGTGTCCCCTGTAACTGTTAATTATTGTTGCTCAACATTTTGCTCAGGTCAGTGGTTCTCAAACAGCATTCAACCCTTCCTGCCCCTTTCTGCACCTAACATTAACAAAACTGAGGAACCCGCGTGAAGGAAGCTACACTATTCAAATAAAAAACCAATGGAGTGACCACCCACCATGTACTCCAACAGAAGGTTATTTTAAGACTTTATTTTTCTCTATAATTATTAAATTATCATTAAATTAGAATAAGGACCCATAGACAAGTTATGGAGGCCAGAGTCATGGAATCAGACCCTAGCGTATATAAACTGTAAAGTGGGAAGGGTGGGCATAATTCAGTCAGCAGTACCAAGACAGTGGATAACTCTTTGGAAAAAATATGCATATTTGATCCTTATCTTATACCATATAACAATAAATTACAGATGGTTGAAGAATTAATTGTCAAAAATCTCCATCAGAGATTATAAATAGTCTTGGAATGGCTGGGTAAGACCTTCCTAAATTTAAAAGTTTTAGAAGAAATTATGATGGGGAGGATAGGTTTAATTGGCTCAAACATCTGTATTTGAGGAAATTTTCTTGAAAATAAGCAAGAAAAATACAACAAATAAAGAATCCACATCTATAACATAAAAAGAACTCTTACACATTGATAAAAACAGTACACATTGATCAAAACAGTATATTTGGAAGAATGCAAATGCCAAATAAGAGGGGGAAAATGTTCAACTTCATTAGTAAATAAATAAATGCAAATTTAAATGACTTTTTTTAACCCATCAAATTAGCAGAGATTAAAAACTTGATAATACTCAGTGCCTGGAGGGAGTTACTTGTACACTGCTATGGAAACATAGATGTTACAACCTATCTGGAAAAGTTTGGTCTTAAAATGTTAATACTTTAATCTACTAGTCCCCCTTCCAGGAATAATGCGCCAGAAAATAAACAAAGGTACAGGGAAAAATTTTTGACCACAAAGATATCCGGTGCAATATTACTTATAATAGAAAAAAATGGAAATAAACCATACATTAATTAGAAAAATGGCTCAGTAAAGAAATATATATATATGATAAAATATGTAGTATTAGAATATTTAGGCAGAATTTTTAATAATCTCAGGAAATGCTCTTTTACTTTAAGGCAGGTTTTGTTATTTTATGGGTGTATGCACATATATGTACATACATAATACACACATATAGAAGGAAAAAAAATACATGGAAAATGGTTAGAAGGAAATATGCCAAAATATTAACAGTAATTACCTCTGGGTTATGTCTTATGATGTCTTATTTTCTCCCTGCTTCTTAGTACTTTTTCTTTCCCAGTTTTTGACAGGAAACTATAATGCATTAATAATCAGGGGGGAGATAAACTGAAAAAGAAAAAGCAATATTTAAACATGTAAATGAAAGCTTCTTGAGTGTGAAAGGAATATGAGATCCAAAAGAAGAGAAAATGGTAATACTCAGTGTGAGATGTGGCTGAGTTTAATCTTTAAGATACTAGCACATCAGGTCTCTGGAACTCATCAGTATGCAGTTTACTTTGTAAAATGTGCACCACTATTGTCAGAGGTTGTTAGGTGTTTTCTCCTCCAGGTAACAATTCTCTTGACTAAATCCATCAACAAGATAATAATTGGTAAGTTGAACAGTCCAGTCTTTTTTCACTATACCAAAAAAAGAAACTTGATAAGAAATATTTATGCCAAGCTGGATGACTTACAAGCTTAAATAAAGATTTCCAGGGGAAATATCAACAACTTCAAATATGCACATGATACCACCCTAATGGCAGAAAGCAGAGAGGAACTGAAGAGCCTCTTGATGAAGGTGAAAGAAGAGAGTTAAAAAGCTGACTTAAAATTCAACATTCAAAAAGTGAAGATCATGGCATCCAGTCCTATCACTTCATGGCAAATAGATGGGTAAAAAGTGGAAACAGTGACAGACTTTATTTTCTTGGGCTCCAAAATCACTGTAGGTGGTAACTGCAGCCATGACATTATGAGATGCTTGCTCCTTGGAAGAAAAGCTATGACAAACCTGGACAGTGTATTAAAAAGCAGAGACATCACTTTGCCAACAAAGGTCCATATAGTCAAAGCTATAGTTTTTCCAGTAGTCATGTACAGATGTGAGAGCTGGATCATAAAGAAGGCCGACCACTAAGGAATTGATGCTTTCAAATTATGGTGCTAGAGAAGACTATTGAGAGTCCCTTAGACAGCAAGGAGATCAAGTTAGTCAATCCTAATGGAAATCAACCTGAATATTCATTGGAATGACTGATGCTGCAGCTCCAGTACTTTGGCCACCTGTTGCAAAGAGCCGCCTCATTGGAAAAGACCCTGATGCTGGGAAAGACTGAGGGAAGAGGGAGAAGGGGGAGACAGAGGATGAGATAGTTGAATGGCATCACTGACTCAATGGACATGATTTTGAGCAAACTCTGGGAGAAAGTGAAGGAGAGGGAAGCCTGGCGTGCTGCAGTCCGTGTGGTCACAAAGAATCAGACACAACTTAATGACTGAAACAACAGCAAGAAATATCCTAAAGTTTTCAAATACAGATTCACTCTGGCTCTTTAGCTAGGCTTCCACTGACTGAACAAATATTAAACAAGTGAGCACAAGAGTGTGTTATCAAGTTCTGTGCTAGGAACTAGAGATTCAATTAACTTACCAGCTAGACTGAATTCATATTTATTTAAGTTAGGACTATTTAACATAATTATTATCACTAATTATCTTCCTAATTAGTGTCCTTTTAACCTTCTTAGCTGGTAAAGAAATTCAAATTAAGCAAGATGGTGATGACTGTTAGGCTACCTTCTTACTCCTCTGGTCACTTCCAGGATCCAGGCATACCCTACATGAGTAAATACTCCCACAGATAGAGGGCCGTGGATTATGCATGAGCAGTGCATAAACTGGACAGTGAATAAACTGGAACACCTCAGAATACACATCTTTAAGTAGCTTCCATATTCCTTTCACAGTCATTTATTGAGTATTCTTATGCCGAGTGCTGATGATGAGTTCACTGATAGATGTCGAGGGGTGTCTCAATGTTTGTAGGAGGCACACACAATAACTATCATATGGAAAATCCTGTGGCTGAGACTGGGCTTTTAATTTTTTTTGGTTTTCTGTCATTTTCAAAAGAGATGAATAATTACATGCATCTGTTAGTTGAAGGACACAGTGCTTATTGAGAGTTGTTAAACACTGCTGGGTGCTTTTACACATGATAAGTCATTGACTGTTCACAGCCTACAGCCTACAGACTGCATTCGAGAACGTAAAGAAGCAGGCTCCGTAAGACTACAATTGCCAGATAGAGAGTGGCAGAACCCGAGATTCATCCATGAGTTACGAACTCTTAACACTCAGACTTCTACTTCTCTGATGCTTTTCTAAACCAGAGTTCTGGTCCTGAACTCACCGTGTCTGGGACATCATGAACTCTACCTGCCAAGCTGGCCCAGGCCACTCTCCGTCCCCTACACTCTGCTTATACTTCCCTCGTGGCAATCACAAACCCGGCTTGCCCAGTCTATGTGCTTGTCCAACCCAGTAAGCGAGGCCTCCTTGAGGAGAGAATGTTCTTCATGTTGGATGTCATTGACACTTAGCACAGCACATACCATAGAATAGGCTTGTAGTGATTATCCACTGAAAAGAAAAATTTTTCAGAAATCAGGAACTCCAGTTAGTAAGCACTGAGGAGAAGTGAGCCTTTTTTAAAAAATTATCATGACATCTCATACCCAGCTCATACCCAGCACGTTGTGCGAGAATTTACAATGGTGGGAAGTCCGGGAGTGAAAGAGCTAAAGTAGGAAGAAGGCGTGGTAAGGAGACAGTTTTATCATTAATCAAAATATGAGCTCTGCTACCTTTAAAAAAACAAAAACAAACAAACCCCAGAGCACTAACAAGTCAGTGGAGTTAGAAAGTGCTGAAAGAGTATGCCAGCCAAAGAGAAAATGAGCATTCCCTGCCTGTCCGTTCTTAATCAATGGCTGTTTTCCCCAAAGATATAATCACTTCTAATTTCTTCCTCAGTCCAGCCCCACAAGCCTCACAAGGCCTTTGTGAGCACCCATCTCAGCAGGAAAGGACACAGAACACAGAACGGCCTCGTCCAGAACAGCACTTGTGACTTCACTGTCTCCTTGCTCTTTGAAACTTCTGCATCTGAAGACCCTTCCCTTTGCTACCTCGACGCCTTTACTTCGCACACTCCGCCACCATCACATCCACTAGTTAGAAAAACAGCACTACAAAATAAACACGGGGGAAAGAGTCTATTGCTCAGATGTGGACCTACCACAACTGCTTTGTTAGGACAATGTCGTGCCAGGGACATGTGAGAAGCTAGTTCACTGTGTACAGCTTGTGGCTCCAGCTATCAAAGAAAAGCTTTATGTGACGAAAATCAGACTTTGCTCAGTCATGTTTCAGTTTTATGCTTTTTTTTTTTAAGTTTTAAACTTTCCATGTTTTTCAGGTTCACTTTTTTTTTTTTGGCTTTTTTAAACCTTTTTTTAATTGAAAATCCTGAAGGAAAACTGTTACTGGGAGCAACAAATTTGCTCCATTTACAAACTGTAAATCATAATCCCTAATTAAATGGGTGCATGCATCCAGTTCATGTTATAAAAACTGACTTTGTATGAAAGTTGTGAGATGTGTTTTGTATGTATTTATTACTAAAAATTCTACCCTGATTATTCTTGCAGATCAAGAAATCCTACGTAAACTAGAGAAGGAAAAAATCCTGGTGTTCACACCGTCGCGGCGAGTGCAGGGGAGGCGAGTGGTGTGCTATGATGACAGGTTCATCGTGAAACTGGCCTTTGAGTCGGACGGTATAATTGTGTCCAATGATAACTACAGGGATTTGGCAAATGAGAAACCAGAATGGAAAAAGTTCATAGATGAGCGATTATTAATGTACTCATTTGTCAATGACAAGTAAGTAAAACCACTTACAGTAACACTGCTTCCCTGCAAATCTTAGTATCCCTGGCAGCAGGCTACAGGCTTATCTTTTTGCCACTGACCAGACCTAAGACAGTTTCTTCCAGCCATTCTTCCAACCACTGATGTCCCCACTCATCTGCAGTGGGACTCAGGAAACGCAGAGTCCCGCCTCGGGAGGCCCTGTGTGAGATGCAGGCTGCCCTGAGTGACTGACATGTGGAGGTTGGCCACCTTCAGAGGATGCAAATGTGGAACACACTGACCACCAGAACACTGCCTTTCAAAATCTAGTTTAGAGCATAGAGAGCTTTTTAAAATATATTATTTTTTTTAATATTATAGCAATGATTCATGATTTATTCATGATTAAATTGATAATGGACACGTGACATGCACAAAGATGTCAGGTCAACTGGATTTACCAACATGTGGGAAAAGCTCACCAGTTGATAATCAAAAATGAAAATTAAATCTACAAAGAGTATATTTTTCACCCATTTAATGCACAAAATTTAAAAATATATTTTTGTATATGCCTTATGCTATTATCACTGGAGAAGGAAATGGCAACCCACCCCAGTACTCTAGTCTGGAAAATCCCATGGACTGAGGAGCCTGGTAGGCTACAGTCCATGGGGTTGCAAAGAGTTGGACACGACTGAGCAACTTCACTTCACTTCACTATGCTATTAAAGGCATAATGCAACTGATAAGTTTGGGTATGGTTTAGCAGAAATCTTAAAAATACCCTGTCAAAACAATGGTCTCATTTTTTGGAATATATAATAAGGGAAAAAGGAAGATCAAAAATGTTCACTTTGGTATATTCATAATTGCAAGAATTCAAAGACCACTAAAGGTATAATACAGAAATCAGTAACACTGCAGTACATCTCCTAGTGGAATATTATTCAACTATTCACAAACATGGAAAAATATTTATTAAAAAGCAAAGTATATAATTGCATTTGTGCTTGTAAAGTGCTATGTGCATAGAGAAAAATAACTAAAATGCAACACATAATGGAAAATAATTATATTAAGACTGTAGGATTGAGTGAGTTTGTCTTCCATTTTTAATCTTTTAATATTACCATATTGTATGTATAATAATAGTAAACATCATAGTTGCTCAATAGTATTACTCAGGCATGTTAACACTCCCTTAGGAGTTGACACATTATTCACATTTTGCAGGTAAACATGTGGTTTATTTCATGTTCAGTAACATAACAAGTAATAGAACTGCTCAGTCATAACCTCTTGACAGTATTCATGCCGTGAATTCTTGCTTCCATTGGACAGTCGATCTAAAATAATAAGTTTATTTCCTTAAGATCTTTTCTATCTCAGCTAAGAAGTAACCTTGTTATAGTGGGAAGAGAATGAATGTGGAGTTGGACAAATTGAATCTTGGTTATGCCATGTGAACTAAGATAAAAATACTTAGTTCATCTGAGCCTAAGTTAGAAAAGTGTACTCACCTGTGAAATGGATTATTGCTGGGATGAGATGCAGTGATGTGTGCAGGGCATCTGACGCATGCTAGGGGTCTGGGTCGTTTCAGTCTTCTGATCCTCTCTCCCACCTCTCCCTTCTGCCCTTCAGCTGCTTCTCCTGGCTCCCACCTGCCTCATATTGCTTCGCAAGATTAATGTTCTTAAAGCCTGTCCTAAAATACCATTGTGATCGTTTTCTTAAGTCCTTAAAAAATTCCATGAGAGAAGGAAGAATTAATTAGAACATGCTAGGCCCAAAACTTGTTTGAATTAAAACAAATACAAGTTCAGCTGGAAACATTTTAATTTTGTTTTAAGAAAACTTTTTGTACTGATTTTTTTTTTATCCTATAAATGTGGAATCAAAATACTTGGATTAAAATTTCAAAATAAATAACTTAGGTGAATATTGTTTACACTCTGTCTTTAGAACTAAATTGTCAACCTTCTACTTAGATTTAATTTTGTATTATGTCCATGACAGGTTCATGCCCCCGGATGACCCTCTTGGCAGACATGGCCCAAGCCTGGATAATTTTCTAAGGAAGAAACCTATTGTTCCTGAACACAAAAAGCAGCCTTGTCCGTATGGTAACTTTCTTTATAGTATCTAATAAATGCCTTTAAGTAGCTCAAATGGTAAAGAATCTGCCTGCAATGCAGGAGACCTGGGTTCAATCCCCAGGTCAGGAAGATCTCCCAGAGAAGGGAATGGCCACCCACTCCAGTATTCTTGCCTGGAAAATGCCACGGACAGAGGAGCCTAGTGGGCTATAGTCTATGGGGTCACAAAGAGTCGGAAACTACACTTTCAGTTTTTTCACTTTAGAGCACAGTATTAAATGTTTGTTATTAAAAATAAACATTTAAAATTTTGGATGGCATGTAGTATGTGGTTCTTTTGAATGTAATTAAATTTTTTAAAAATAATTCTTTTTACCTAGTTGGGTTCAGTGTATATGCATTTTCCCTGAATTAAAGCACTGTTCTAAAAACTCAGATAATTCTACATGAAGTCAGTTTTAGGTAGATAAAAACTTGAAGTTCTTCCATCTAGCTGCACATCAGATTAGAGTGGCTTTATCACATCACAGCAGCACATTTTGCTCTGCAAAACACAATGTCCTGCCTGACTGCAGAGTTGTACTGGAAGAGAAGAGGCAGGTAGGAGTTGAGGACATGGAGGGAATTATTACTCGGCCAGCTGACTTTCTTATTCCTCTTGCTAGCACTGGCGTGGGAAGACCGTAAGGTGGCATTTCTCAGAAGCAGGGAGCAGAGTGGCCCGAGCACAGCTCCCTTTCCTGTGCTTCTTTCTTAAAAGTGCCACACGGGGTGTTTAGGATCTGGCGGAATGCTCCTTTGCCTAACTGACTTTACTCTTCATAGGAAAGAAGTGTACGTATGGACACAAGTGCAAATACTACCATCCGGAAAGGGGCAGTCAGCCTCAGCGCTCGGTGGCTGACGAGCTGCGTGCCATGTCCAGAAACACAGCAGTCAAAACTGCGAACGAAGGAGGACTGGTGAAAAGCAACAGCGTCCCCTGCAGCACCAAGGCCGACAGCACTTCTGACGTCAAGCGAGGCGCTCCAAAGAGGCAATCAGACCCAAGCATAAGGACTCAAGTCTACCAGGACCTAGAGGAAAAGCTTCCCACCAAAAACAAACTGGAAACCAGGTCTGTACCTTCCTTAGTTAGCATACCGGCTACTTCTACCGCCAAACCCCAAAGCACTACATCTTTAAGCAATGGCCTTCCATCTGGAGTTCACTTCCCACCTCAGGATCAAAGACCACAGGGGCAATATCCTCCGATGATGATGGCAACCAAAAACCATGGAACGCCAATGCCTTATGAACAGTATCCAAAATGTGACTCGCCCGTCGACATTGGATATTACTCCATGTTGAATGCATATTCAAATCTGAGCGTCTCAGGCCCACGGAGCCCTGAAAGGCGTTTCTCCTTAGACACGGACTACAGGATCAGCTCTGTGGCCTCTGACTGCAGCAGCGAAGGGAGCCTGAGCTGCGGGAGCAGTGACTCCTACGTGGGGTATGGCGACCGCCCCTACGTCAGCTCCCCCGACCCGCAGCTGGAAGAGGGCCTCAAGTGTCCGCACATGCACCCTCACGGCCGCCTTAACTCCCAGCCCTTCCTGCAGAATTTCCACGACCCCTTAACCAGAGTGCAGAGTTACAGTCACGAAGAACCAAAGTACCATCACAAGCCTCCGCTCCCGCACCTGGCCGTGCGCCTGCAGCACCCGGCCGTGGGCGCGCGGTCCAGCTGTCCCGGCGACTACCCGTCCCCGCCCGGCTCGGCGCACGCCAAGGCGCCGCACCTCGGGCGCTCCCTGGTGGCCACGAGGATAGACAGCATCTCCGACTCGCGGCTCTACGACGGCTCTCCGTCCAGGCCGCGGAAGCCCCACGCCCGCCAGGAAGGGCTGGGCGGCTGGGACCGGCAGAGCTACGGGCTGGACGCGTACGGCTACCGGCAGACCTACTCCCTGCCTGATAACCCCACGCAGCCGTGCTACGAGCAGTTCACCTTCCAGAGCCTCCCCGAGCAGCCCGAGCCCACGTGGCGCGTCCCGTACTGCGGCGCGCCGCCGCCGGACCCCCCCAGGTACCAGGACAGCCGAGAAAAGATCTTCGTCAACCTGTGCAACATCTTCCCGCCCGACCTGGTGAGACTGGTCATGAAGAGGAACCCTCACGTGACCGACGCCCAGCAGCTGGCTGCAGCGATTCTAGTGGAGAAATCACAGCTGGGCTATTGAAAGATGATGCATCTTTGTGGTGTTTAGTAGTTTTTTTTTGTTCAGCTTAAACGCTGAGGGAGGTTTGCTACAATAGCACATGTGATCTCCTTCTCAGCAAGGAGGTTATATAGTATCCATTTATGTGAAAATACTGTATCATGGAATCTGTATGTATAGCCCCACATAGTGGAAGTATCACGGGATTGCTTTACATTCAAACATTTTTTTTTTAAACATTTCCTTTTTAAAGCTATATATCCTTGGCTGGAAATTTTTCCAGTTTGATTTATTAGATGTATCTGTGATCTTTGATATTAATCTTTGGTGCATCAGGGGTTTATATGCAGCACTTTTTATCCTTGTTTCATGTTTTATTAACTTGGTGTTTGTCTATCAATTGCAAGCAATTACAATACCTTCAGAATGTTGAACATTTGACTAGACCTAGCAAACTATTTTTTCAAGCCAAGCTTAATTGGAATCTTTTACAGCTTTTTAAGTTATTTTTATTTGGGGAAAGTGGGCTTCTTTGTGCTATAATCATTATTTATAGAAACAAAGATATACTACAGCACTGACTTTATATTTTAAACAAAATGTAAGTTACCAGTTTATGTTGAAATGGGTAACAGTATATATTAGAATGATTACAATATGGCACTTTTAATTGTTTTATTTTCGTTTGGATTTTTTGTGTTAAGTAATTAGTTAATTTAATATGGTTGACTTAAAGGAAAGCAGATGCAATCAATGGAAAAAATCGTTTCCATTTTTTTTAAATAAAAAAGGCAAAAGCCGTTAACTGTTACAGTATACAGAGCTTTGTTATCCAGCTATGATGTGCTTCTAGACAGTAGAAATGGAATTGAATTCCTAGACTTCCATTAACCTGTATTTTTTAATGTGTTTGTTTGTCTTTTTGTTTGGGGGCACAACAATACTGGATAAAATAACCCTTTTGCAGTACTTGCCTGTTTTTAATGAATCTAATTATTCTCAATGCAACTTTTATATTTAATATACTCTTTAGCTGTCCTGGCCTGAGGTGGTTTTATGTGTTGAGGATATGCAACATTTGTTGATACTGCACTATAGAAATGGTGATGGAGGAGTTGTAAATGGTAACTTAAAATTTTTGTAAGATACTGTATATTTTCCATTTTCCTGAAGGTAATTTTTTGGGGGGCCTGTCATATTATTAAGGCCAGACTCTTGCCACAAATAGTGTAGTTTTAGATACAGACTGAAGTCTGTTCTCGTATTAGTAAGGGATATTTCTGGTTTCAAAGTCATGGGTTTTGCTGAGTGGATTCGTTTCTGTTGTTGGTTAGAAGAGAGATGTTGCAATCCATGGTAGACAGTTGTGTGACTGACGAGGACTTCACTGTTGCCTCCAGTTTTTGAATTTTGCTTAGTTTAACAGACTCATTCTGAGCTGTTTTTGGAGTCTGCCTAGATGCCATGGTTATCCTGATTATTCTACGTGCTACAGTTTGAAGTAAAGCCCTGAAAAACCAGAAAGTACCTTTTACTGTTGATACAAATTGTATCTTTTTAACTATAAGAACTATTTTGATTTGTAGATCTAGTTAAAACACAGATGTGTAACTCTGATTAGACTTTTGGGCAACATTTTATCCCTTATTTAAATACAAATTTTTAAAGTAAAATCCAAGTCTAGAATAGGGTAGAAGATAAAAGTAACAATTTAGGTAAATAAAAGTGTCTGTCTTATAGTTTTATATATTAAAATATATTAAATGAATTTATTGGCATTTTCTTTCTCCTAAAACTTATCTAGCGTGAACTTAAAATAAAGGTAAAATGCTGCCTGAAAATAACGTCCAAGCACCTTTGACTAGTACAACATTTTCACTACTCGTGTGACACTGTGTGTCACGTGAAGTAGGATTTGGGTTACAGTAAATGCTTCTAAAAGGCATTGTGCATATTGACATATCCAATAATCTGAACCGTGTTCAGCAAACCTAATTCAGGAAAGTGGGGTTCACAGTCGCTGCCGCCGCCTGCGAGGTGAGGTGCCCCTCGCTGCGCCTGCAGAAGATACAGGCGCTGCCGCACACACCTGCTGCAGCGTCCTCTGAGCGACCTGCTCACTTGTGAAATCGTTCTCCTGATTTTCTCGGTCACTCTCTGTAAACAAGTTTAATGTAGATGCTAACCCAGTGCCAAAAGTAGGGTTACAAACGTGGAGTACCTTTCATTTCAGTCTTCTTCTAAGCTTGCTTTTTTTTTTTAAAGTATGAAATCATTTTTAAATTATACATGTAGGTTTTGCTTCCATTTTCTTAATTTTTTGCATTTGAATTGTTTAAAGATTTTGCCAAACTTTATTACTTTTCTTTAAATGAGCTCTTAGGCAAAATGTATAGCACACCCTTTCATTTGACCTCCTAATGTCTGTAGCTAACCATCTGTCATTGCATCCTGGATTTTAGACTATGGCAAAACAGTGGAGCTTGCCGCTGCCTGCCCTGACGTGAATAGCTCTGAGCAGCCACACTGAAATCTTTCAGTGTAACTGACTGCAAGCCAAGAAGTAGCAGTTTTCTTATGTCAAGAGGCAATCTGTACTCCTCTCCCTTTTTTGGAAGCACTGATGTTGCTTTCCGAGCTTAAGAATGAGATACAGCAATTTGGCTGACTTTAGATACAGCAATTTCTTAATTATCTAAAGCAATAAGTAAAAGGATCCATCATTAAATTAAATTCAGAGTTCATCTCAGAACTTCATTTTAGCCAAAACTTTCGCTTTAATCATATCTTTAGACTGACTAACAAATAACCGGAGAAAGGTGTGTTAGTAAGTTGTGAAACTGCCAGTGGTGGTCAGCTGACAGAAGAGGAGGGATTCAGACTGGAATATTCTGCCCTGAGTAACTGACAGTTGACTGGACTTTACACAGTAACTAGCCGGTTTGTCGTCTCTGTGTCTTAGTACAGAGGGAGTTGTGTTCAACTGGCCAAATTCTGGCCCTTAGTATTTCCTCCTTTCTTGCATGCGATACCCAAGTTTTCAGCCTCCTTTATATGATCCCTGTATCCTGATAGAGTGTCATTGACCTAAACATTTGAAAGAAATGCACACCAGTATAAAATATTTGATACTGGTAGAAACTTGAACTTTGTGTTTTTATGAAAATTCATTTATGAGAATATGTAATATAACTAAAAAGAGTGTTTTATATATATATATATATATATATATATATATACATACATGCATACACATTTGTTAAGAAGTATTAAAAATGGAAGAATGTTACGCTTTTGATGGCTAACTTTTCCTTAATTGAACTGTTTCTTTGAGTTATGGACGACCAAGTCTGGAGTCTGGATGACCAATGATAAGATTTGGAACCACTTGAATGGAAAGCAACTCTTTACTGGCTTTATTCCTGATATTTTTAAAGAATTATTTTAATAATTTTAATAGAATGTGTAATTTTAAAACACACAAAAATACTTAAAGTAGTATTGCTTATATATTTAACATGTCTTTTATGGATGTATCTATATGTATATAGACAGTAATATATTTATAAAACAAATATACTTTATGTTGTAGTTGTTGTAATAGATGGGAGGATGGATGACTCTCATATGTCTGTGTGTGTTTTGAAAACTCTCAAGGTGTTTTTCCCCTGACTTAATGGCAATTACCCTAAGAGATATTTGCTTTTCATTATTCTTCTTGCTACTCAGCTTCCTTATTCAAGATAAATAGGATGTACAGTTTCCTGGCCATACTTTTAGATGTGGCTCATCCATTTTATTATCACCCAGCTCCTGGAGAATTTGAGTGACCTAAAATCGAACAGATTATGGCTGGAGAGATCAGGTGTGTCCCAAATATGTTAAACACAGGAATTCAGCTAGTGTGTTGAGTTTTCTTGTTACACACCGAGAAAGTAGAGTGTCAGTAATAGTAGAGAAATAATTGCATTATTTTTTATTGGCATGGGAAAACCTGCAGGGCAAGGGTTGACAAACCTTTTCTGTAAAGGATCGGAGAGTAGATCATCCAGGCTTTGAGAATCATATGGTCCCTGTAAACCATGCCCCTCATCCCTTAAAGTGAAAGCAGCCACAGAAAATACATACCTGAATGGGTATGGCTGTATGTCAGTAAAACTCACAGAAAGGGGCTGCAGGCCAGATTTGGCCCAGGGGCCATACTTTGCTGATTCCTACCCTAAAGGGAGAAAAAAAGGCACATTAAGCAGCAAATCCTGATACACGTTAAGAAATCATACTTACATTTCAGTTGGCATTCAAACAAAATCCACTGTTGCGGACCTTAAAAAGATTTCTCAGATAGTCACATATTAAAAGCATCTTAATTCACTTATTTTTCTGCCTGGTCACACCCATTATTTAGTAGAGTTAATTTCTTGTGTTTAACCATCCAAAAAAAGCATTCTGTAGAAAGATGTTTTAATAAGTATTGGAATTTTTTCATGAACTTTGTACTGATAAATGGGAATCCTTACCTACCTTTTGGTTTTTTAAGGGCCTCATGGACCAAAAATTCTGTTGTATTTTGAAAATTAGCATATAATTAGCCATAAAATATTTTAAAGACTGCATTTATCAGTTACAATTTTCTGCTGGTTTTTGATTTCTAAAAAATGACAGATCGGCCCTTCTTTAAAAATGGTTTTAAAGAAGATCAATATATTGTAAGTTTACATGCTGTAAACTTTATTCTGTAAAATTAAAAATTGTGACTAGTATAATTGTGAGTGCACGTGTGGTATTGTGACTCTCTATAAGAAACAAAATGTATACCTGCTTTCTCTATCCAAACCTTTAGTATAGATTTAAGACACCTTAGGACTATCCTCAGTGAATGATACTCTTAACAGGATCATGTATGGTTTTAAATTCATTAGAGTATACCACTGAGCATGTTCATTCACAGTGCTTTGTAAATGATGTTAACATCATAAACGCACATCTGTCGGAACAGTAGTTTTGAATGTTGTCATCCACTTAAGTTGCTATATTTTCTTTTAAGATTGGAATATAACTCTAGTTTTAACGAGTGTTTACTGTTTTAAATTTTTTTTTTTCTTTAATGCCCTCTGTTAACCTGCTTTTTGCTTCTGTTACAATAATACTTTGTTATGTTGGGAGTGGCTTTTTCCCTAAAGCTCTTAGTCTTTCAGATTGAAAAACAGTTTAAGGTTTTGACCACCTGACAAATTTGGCAGTAAAAAAAGAAATTTTGTGCATGTTTCAATTCAGTTTTATAGGTAGTGTAAAATTTCATTTTTTAACCCATATACTGAATTTGCCAATTTTCTGTCTAGATATTTCAGATGAATAACAAATTGTTCATTTAAAACTTTTTGACCCCATTCTTGAAGCAGCTTGTGCCTCAAGGGAAGATAAAATTGAACAACAATGGTTTGTTTTTATAAAGAATACATTTTAAACATGAAGATTTTCTTCAGTTTAGGGAAATTATAAACATCTCATCTAATACAGAACACCCATCAACATGCACACTTACACAAACATGTGGACATGGCATTGCCAGTGAACCCAGTTACAGACTTTTATCTTTTCCTTCTAGGTTTTATCCTCCCAAATCAGAGTCATTTGCTGAGAGTAGAAATTCCAATTTGATCCTTCAAACTTATAAGAAAACAAGGCAAAGAATATGTTTAGAATAACAGTCTGATGAATTCATGTGATTCTGTTTATTCTATGTCTGTTCTATGTGTTTGTGTAATGGGATTTTTACAGCTCCAAAAAAGCAGTATTTTAGACCTACCAGAAATCCATATCAAAACAGCTATGTGATTCTGCCACTGAGAAAAAAATGTATTAAAAAATTCACTTTTCTTATGGTGGTTTGTTTTTGTTTCTTCAAGAAACTGACATGCAGCAGCACAGAACTCTAAGTAAAAGCATCCTCCCCTCGACCTGCGGCCCGCCTGCCTGCCTTCAGTGGCTAGTGCAGACACGTCCTCTGTAGCATCAGCACACATTCAGTATCAGCGTGTGTTAGAGCTGTAATTAATTCATATGACAATCAGAATTAAATGCCAAAGACAACTACTCCTACCTTATGGTTCTAATAATGTTCCATCATTGATTAACTTAGGCTGCTTGTGGCTTTGCCTTGAGGCTTCTTTATCACCTCTTGTGAATCTTTGTTGTAAAGGTCTTTCTGCATCTCTCCTTGTGTGAATCAAGTTTAGTATCTTACTAATGCTGCCCCCAGTAGGTTCACTTCACTTCTTTTGTGATCACCTAGGATTTTTCATTTCAGATAAGGTCACAGTTCTGAAATGATCTCATGTTCTGTGTCAGTGAGAAACTGTTGTATTTCAGATAGGAGATTTCTTTTACCCCTCATTGCTTTTCAGACTTTTGCTTTTCTTGTTATTTTTTTCCCTAAAGGTATACCCCCCCCCCCGCCCCCGCCTCAGCCCCACTTAAACTTTTTAAGTATCTTATGTATTTAGGTAACTTGTTTCAGCTTTGTCAGCAAAGTTGATTTTTCATGTTCAACTGTGGTTGACAGAGAACTCAGCAAACCCACATTTGCAAATCTCCCATATTAGGTGGGAGAGTCTGAACTGAGAGTCTCAGAGAGTGTTAGGCTACAGTGTTGGCTAGGGCTAGTAGTTTATTTCTCCCCCACCTAGAACCTTTGTCTAAAGAGAAAGGATTCATAAACACTGATGAATCAAGTAACATTCAGGAAGAGGAGACTGTAAACAGAAACTATAATGATGAACTTATTCAAAACAAAATACCTCTAGTTGGCCCTCTTATTAGTTAGGGTATGTACTTAATATCA